GATGAACCCTCTGCTTAGATCAGAATCGGATCTCTCACCTCCTTCTAATTGCTGCTACTCGGTTTTCTACCCCAAAGCCTAGATCTACGCCCAGATTAGGCTTGATTGATACCATTGATTGTAACGGTAGGATCAACTAGGCATAGATCTAGTGGGTATAACTTGACTAGAACATGATGAACAAACCCTAGAACATGAACTACGAGATCTAGATGGAGAAGAAGGGAGAGGGGCAGTGGTCTCTGACCATCGGAGGGTTTGGTGGAGCTACTGGAGCCGTCCATCACGTCAGTGATGTTGTCGGAGGGCGTCGAGTGATGTAGCAGTCGTAGGTGCGGTCCAGTGGCGGCAGCGAACCTCATGGTGGTGCTTCCCGTCACTGACTGCGCACCTTCTCTAGATCATTATTAGGGTTTTGTCAGTTGGAACTGTAGCTCGGTCAACCTCGTGAAGAGTGCCGCCAGTCCCCACCTCTCTTTATAGCGCAGTGTGATAGGGGCCCACCAACCATGTAGGGTTGAGCGTCCCCGATCAGGGCACGAGGTCAAGGCCCAACTCAACCGTTGGGCCGAGCTAGAGAGATCACCACTAACAATACTATTTCACACTTTCCATATTGCCCAACAAATAACAGCGATACCAATAACATGAAACTGTTTACCATAAGCCAGTCATTTCTCACACCATGACCAACACTGATCAATGCTTCTAGGAACATTGTCAGCTCCAAAGCAATGGGCAACAATACCCCAAACAACCTTTGCCATGCTACACTGAAATAAGAGATGAGAGATAGTTTCATGATTGTTAAAAAAAACACATGTTGGATCTGCATTCCATTTCCTTCTGATCTTCCTATGGTTACTAACCACAAGAAAATTTTAATTTTGGCTGGTATTTTCCCTCTTCAAATCTTCCTATGGTTAAGACCAGCATCATTAACTGTCAAAGCCTTGTATACAGAATTAACTGTAAATCGACCTTTGTTACCAAACCTCCATCTTACCACATCGTTACCAGACAGGGGAACAACTCTGCCCCATGTATCCATAATCTTATCCTAAATTCTTCTTAAATCATCAATCAGCCATCTAGTGAAGCTAATAGCCTGAGGATCCAATCTAACTTGATAAACTGAAATGTCAGGTTGTTCACGAAGCTTGAATAGATCAGGAAACAACACAACAAGAGGCTTGTCATATAACCAAGAAACTTTCCAAAATAAAGTTTTCTTACCATCTCTCACTATCATTTTCCTACCTTGTAGATAAATGTCCCTAATCTTTAGAAAGTCAGCCCACATTGGAGAATCATTTTGCCTATGATTCACAGTGCAAATTGATCCATTTTTATATATTTATACTTAATAATGTCTTGCCACAGCCCTCCTTCATTATCAAGTCTCCACCACCACTTGCACAGGAGGTTGATGTTCATCTTCCTCAAATCTTTTATTCCCAAACCACCATTTCTCTTGTTCTTACAGATTTTAGTCCATTTAATCAAATGGTATTTCTTTTTTTTACCCCCCCCCCTCCTTGCCAAAAGAAGAATCTTCTTGTCTTGTCAAGTTTACTAATGACAGTTTTGGGCAAGAGGTAAATGGACATATGATATATTGGGGTGTTACTCAAACTTGAATTAATCAGGACTTTTCTTCCAGCTATAGACATCAAACCACCTTTCCAAATATCAAGTTTTTTAGCACTCTTTTCCAGCAAAGGAAGCCAGTCACTCACATGTATGTCCTGTTCGCTTGGCTGATAAGCCATGGCTGAAAAGATTGTTGGCTGATTTGTTGTGAGAAAAAATATTATTCGTTGGCTGAAAAATACGGCTTATAAGTCAAGCGAACGTGACGAATCTGCTGGGACTAACAGGTACCCCAGGTACTTGACAGGGAATGTCCCAACTTGGCAATTGAAAATTTCAGCATATGTAGCAGCCCAGTTATCCTCATCATTAATAGTCAAAACTTCACTCTTATGTAAATTTATCTTAAGCCCAGCCATTAACTCATACACATACAACAGCGGCTTTAAATTTCTTGCCCCCTCTACTGATTCGGTTGTGAGAGCCCGTGTGATTTTTTCATCAGAAGCAAAAACAAGTTTCTGTACGTGATGTGAAGCACAGCAGCAGAACCGGCATCTCGTACGCACAGGTCTCCGATAAGGATAAGCCCTAGGTCACGACTCACGACGCATACTTTATATGAACCTAATTGCAACTTGCGAGATGCTCTTATCTGAACAGCACGTCGGTGATGATTCCATGTGCTTTGCACGTTGCGCAAGGACGAAAGCAGCGATAGGAAAGTTGGCGTTCTGTAATCTGTATGCACAGCAGTACAACGGAAACAAATCCTCTGCATTTTCTTTTTTGAGAGGAATCCTCTGCAATACTGCAGGAAACACATCCTCTGCAATACGGCCCGAATGGGCATCGAGCAGATAAAGAATGGGCTGCGAGCCGCCAATGCAGTTCGGCCTGTTATAAACTCCAGTTGGGCGGCGACCCGCTGCTTGTATTGGCCCATTGGAGCGCACGTATCCGCCGCACAGGGCTCAGGTTTTGGGCCGGATGGATCCGCGATTATTGGACTGCACTATATCATCTGTCAACCGTTCCCTAGGAAAAAAAATTGCGCGCTGGGCTGCGGAGCAATGCTATTGTCCAGGTTGACCTTTGAGCAGTGAGCATGGTGTTTTTTTTTTTGATAACTGACAATATATTAGCAGCAAGATGCTGCCATGAGGGAGGACTCCCAGGGTATAGAGTTCAGTGCCACTCTAAGTGGGCAGCTGGTTACATGAACTGTGTTGGTACAAGATAAGCTTGTCGAGGATGGGTTCAAAGCACATTGAAAAGCTTGAGTAGCTAGGGTGCGTGCAGTAACATTTTGATTTCTAGCGACCTTGAGCACTCTTGAATTGTTATTGTTGGTGGTGTTGATGAAGCTCTGAGTGAATGGCTTGATGTCCCAAATAGGAGGGGAGGAGAAGTTGGTCCCATTGAAGAAGGACACAAGCAGCTGATTGTTTGTTAGGAAGATCGTGTTCTGTATGCTCAATGCTGAGGTCACCAGCGCGGCCAGAGCCATGGCAGCAGCTTCTGCCATGAGGACTGATGTCGAGTTGGTGATGACAGCCTTGATGTAGATTGTCCGTCGTTGTTGGGGGTCGATGGTGAAGATTCCTAACGTAACCCTGCTCGACAGGGTTTTCCTGATTGGGACGATCCGGTGTCGTTGAGGCATCTGTGTAGTACCTAGTGCCAGGCAGTAACGCCGGCAGCATGGCTCAATATAAAGGCGGGCCTGGTAGTCCGAGTGTTCTCCTGGTGTGGTCGTCGTCGTCGTCGTGGCTTAGTGCTTCACCTGTTATTCCTGCATCAGTTAGAATTGTACCTTATGTGGGTTGGTGGCCGCCGTGCTGCGTCTCGACAATTTCCCTGTTCGTCAAGTGAGTTCATGATGAGGGAGGAAGCATTGATATCGGCAGTCATCGCTTGATGTACAAGCCAAACAGTCCAGGTTTTTCTCTAAAAGCGGAGGTCATTCCTTTACCTGGAGCGAGTAGTGAGTAAGGCCATGTTAATTGACTATTTTTTAGTACTTACAAAAATTTAAACATGCAGACTAATTGTTACTTCCTCTGTTCTAAATTATAAGATGCTTTAACTTTTCTAGATACATAGCTTTTTGCTATGTACTTAGATACATAGTAAAAGCAACGTATCTAGAAAACCAAAACGTCTTATAATTTAAAATGGAGGAAGTAATTTGCTAGTCTTTAGACTAGTTATTAATTCATTAGTCTATATAAAGCAAGAGTTAATAAGACTAGCTTTTAGTTCCAACCCATGGAAACATGCGTTAAGTACCGTCTACCGTGATTGCATTGCAGTACCTGGAGTTTCAGGGGAAAATGAGGCGCCGCAATGGAAACTGGACAGCACTAGCAAAGAAACTTGGCACACCTTTTCCAGTCTTCGGACAAGCTCACAGCGGTGACTGCCAGCGCCAGACCGTCATGGCGTCATCGACTTGTCCGGTAAAAAAACGGAGTCGAAAAGTTGAAACTGGGCAGCTCGCTCGTGGCTCGTGAGAAAGCGAGGAGGTTTGAATTGATTCGGTAGTCGGTAGTGACCGTCACCTTGGCGGTTGGTATGGCAGCAGCCAGCCGGCTTCAGGACGAAGAGTCGAAGAAGACGAGAAAGCGCGTCGCTCGGTCCAGTGGACTTCCGCTCTAACGATGACGTCGGCAACGACGGTATGTGCCTTGTCCTGTTGTCCAGTTGTCCCGGGTTGAAGCACAGGAGGAATAGCTCCTACGGGCCACGAGTCAGTGACCCAATGGCTGTCGCCCTTCTGCTCCCTACCATGCACCTTCCTGCACGACCGGTAGGCCCACGGCTTCTCAACTTGCCTCGTGGGACCCATATCGACTTTGCCCCACGTGTCATGGGACAAAGAGCGCAGCAAAGAATCGTGCCGCACCCTCGAGCGCGACACAGCAACCTCCCTGACTCTTCGGTCCCACACAAAGGCCGACCCCACCAAATACGGGAAAAACACGCGCCTAATTACCTCAGTGAGAGATCGGCGTACACATGCACTATCACTGGTACCTAGGACCCACCAAATTTCGTCCCCACTTGTCATCCAGTCGGCAAAGGAACACGTACTCGTATACAATAGCTACAGTATTGCCCGACCACACGCCTTCCATGATCTAACAAAAATAAATATCCTCTCCCACATTTTCCTTTCTTATCACAGAACCATACAGATCATCGTCAAATCAAAGGAAATTGAACGAAGCAGCCCAACCAAAATCCCCTCGCCGCCTCGTCCCTTCCCGTACCGTCCCTTCCCGACTTCTCCCGTCCCGCAGCCGCCTCAATCTCGAAGCCTCTCCGGCGTAGCCGCCTCAATCTCGACTCGAAGGCCTCCCTCCAACCAAAAATCCTCTAGGGTTTTCGCATCGTCCGTCGCGATGGGCTCCAAGAAGCGGTCGCCCCAGCATCCCGCCTCCCCAGCCGGCGGCGAGGTCGGCGCCCAGACGGCGGGGAAGGCCACGCCGGTGGCGGCGGCGCCGGAGTCGGTGCCCGTGGCGGTGGTGCCGAAGCCTCCGGACGTGGCCCCCTTCCTGACCAAGGTCTACGACATGGTCTCCGACCCGGCCACCGACGCGGTCATCTCCTGGAGCGCCACCGGCGGCAGCTTTGTGATCTGGGACTCGCACGTTTTCGAGCGCGACCTGCTGCCGCGGCACTTCAAGCACAACCACTTCACCAGCTTCATACGCCAGCTCAACACCTACGTGAGAATTACCCTGATCCCTAACACTATATATGCCTACATGTTAGTTCCCCGTGCGCGAAATCGATGTGGTTTTGCGCTGATTAGACGCGATTGTTGGTTTGCAGCAGATTCGGTAATACGGCTAGCTAGTACTTCGCTTTTCGAAATTGCAATACCTTCTGATTATGGAAATGCTAGTCTCCTTTTCTTTTTGGATAAGGAATGCTAGTCTCCTTTTTTTTTTGGATAAGGAATGCTGATCTCCTTCGATTTGTCGGCACTTCAGCAACTTCTCTTGATGTCATTTGAGATTTTATATAACCAAATAGCTGGTTCTCCGAAAACAAAACTGAATGTTGAATTTGGTTGGAAGTTTTTGGTGATGGACTTGTATAGATTGTTCACGAGATCTCTTTCAGTAAATTGCTCAATATAGACCTTAATGCATAACACATACCATCGGGGATCCTTTATTGTTCTTGTACAACCAGTTTGAAATTTTGTGCGCCTTATCATAAGCTCATTGGGTTCTGTCACCTAGTGAACTTTGCGACCATAGAACTTGCAATGACTTCTGATGAAACAGCCTCCTTGGATTTGTTGTTGCTTCAGCAACTTCCCGTGATGTCATTTGATATATTCTGTCATTTTGCAGTTTGATGCTTCATTGCTTCTTGTATACTTGTATTGAGGTTATCTATCAGTCTATCACTGAATAGCTGGATGCGCCAATTTTTAGTTACTTCTGCTCTGTACTTCCGAAAGCAAAACTGAATAGTTGAATTCAGTTGCAAGCTTCTGGAGGTCTCTTTTGGCCAATTGCTCAATACAGACCTTAATGCATACAGGACCTGCCATCAGGGATCCTTTTTTTTTGTTCTTCTGCAACCAGTTCAAATTTTTCCGCACCTTATCAGAAGATCGATGGATTCTGTAACCTAGTGAACTTCACAACAATACAAAGGATTCTATTGCCCTGCTACTTTACTAGCATCCTAGCCTGATGCTCTATTGGATGAAGCTACTGCTAATTGTTTGCATGAAACTTTATGCTTGTACTGAAATAGTGACCAATGGTATTAGTTCCATGCTTTTTCCCTCTTCAGGCATTTACTCAAACTCGTGCATGAAGCATGTAACTAGACTGTAATTGTGTATATAGAAATAGAACCATTGCTTAACTATTATATTATGTTGAAAATAATTTGCGTCAAACTAACTATTATTTTGTCCGCATGGTTTATGCTGTAAGTTCATGTTGAAACTTAACTTCTGTTGTTTCACGAATTTACTAGTGTTCTTTTTCATTATCAGGGATTTCATAAAGTTGATCCAGATAGATGGGAATGGGCGAATGAAGGTTTTGTTAAGGGCCAAAAACATCTTCTGAAGACCATCAAGAGAAAGAAGAAATCCTCTCAGGATGTACCTAGCGATCTGCAGTCGGTGCCTGTCAAAACTGCACCTGGCACTGAGAATATTGAGATAGGAAAATATGGTGGCCTTGAAAAGGAGGTTGAGACACTTAAGAGGGACAAGGCCCTTCTAATGCAGCAGCTTGTAGATCTGAGGCAGTACCAGCAATCATCCAGCCTTGAAGTGCAGAATTTAATTCAACGCCTCCGTGTGATGGAACAGAACCAGCAGCAGATGATGGCACTTTTGGCAATAGTTGTCCAGAATCCAGATTTCCTCAACCAGCTCGTGCAGCAGCAGCGCAGGAGTAACTGGTGGAATGATGATGGTAACAGGAAAAGAAGGTTCCAAGCTCTGGAACATGGTCCTGTAGATGATCAGGAGACTTCTGGTGGAGGCGCGCAAATTATTCAATATCGTCCTCCTGTTCCTGAAACTTCCAATCAACCAATACCAGCAAATGAAGCTATCTATTCAACCCATGCACAACCAGTTTCAAGCCCTGCACAATCAGTTTCAAGCCCTGCACAACCAGTTTCAAGCCCTGCACTTGAGATGCCCATGGATGTAGAAATGACTTCAAACAATGTTGATACCCTTGATTCAACTGGGAATGATTTTACTGACACCTCTGCTCTATGTGAATGGGATGACATGGATATATTTGGTGATGAACTAGAGTACATTCTTCAACAGCCAGAGCAGAACTTTCAAGTGGACCCTCCTCTAACAGTTGAAGATTATGGTTATGATCGTCCATGGCTAGAGCAGGACTGTCAGATGGTAGCACAACAGAATTGCAAAAATCCTCAATATGGTATGTAAATTGACGTATGCAAATGTAATCTTATTTTACTGTTGAATTTCTGTGCCTAGTTGCCTGTGTCTTAAGGTAAAGGGAAAACTATTGATCTGATGTCCATTAGTACTGATCCGGTTGAGGTCAGTCATATACTAGGAATTTGCAAAAACAGAATACTTGGGTCACATTTCTGTTACTGTTTGGTCACTTGCTAGGGTGCACGAGTTTTCATTCCATTTATGTTAGTAGAAAGTAGAAGGGCGGGCCTGGTGCAAGCGGTAGAGTCTTACCGCCTGTGACCGGAAGGTCCCGGGTTCGAGTCGCGGTCTCCTCGCATTGCACAGGCGAGGGTAAGGCTTGCCACTAACACCCTTCCCCAGTCCCCGCACAGAGCGGGAGCTCTCTGCACTGGGTACGCCCTATGTTAGTAGAAAGTAGAAACAGTGCACAGAAGCAGATAAATAACTGCTATTTCGCTATACCAAATCATTGAGCACTGAGCAGTCACAATTCCTTTCACAGCTAGGCCTGTAGTTCAGGATTAGTTTCATCAGACACAAAACAGTAGGAAAGGAGCATGCTCTGTTTTGGTTTACTCTGTTTCATCAAAGTATAAGGCATTGTTTGACTCAATGCGATCTCCAAAGTTATATTTATCTATAATCTATAATTTCTCTTATGTGATAATGTTTCTGGCAACAAACTCCTAATCATAAGACAGTGCTTGCGAATACGAATTAATAATATCCCTTTTGTATAACAAACTCTCTTGGAAGGCTTATTGTTAGTTGAAAATTACGAGGTTTGAATCTGTATAACAAACTCTCCTGTAAGGTTTATTGTTAGTTGAAAATTACGAGGTTTGAATCTGAATGCATTCATGCCTTACAAAAAGAAATGTGGGAGTACAATTCATTAGTTGTTACAGAAAATGAAACAGGAAAAGGATTTGTACAAGGGTTCATGTCTTACAAAAAGAAATGTGGGAGTGCAAGTCATTAGTTACAGAAAAGAAAAAGGGAAAGGAATTGTACAAGGGTCAAATATAGGTCTACATGATATAGCAAGTTGAGGTACAGGAAAATGTTTTATTCCCTCATTCAGGACACACTTGTATACCCAAGAACTTCTACTTCCAACTTCCTGGGAAACTATACTCCCTCTATTCAAAATTGTAAGTCGTTTTGTTTTTTCTAGATATATTGTTTTTACTATGCACCTATATACACTATGTCTAGATACATAGTAAAAAACTATGCATGTAGAAAAGCCAAAACGACGTACCATATGGAAAGGAGGGGGTACTATTTTATATAAAGAAATTATAGTTATGAAATTCTTTCAGTCGTGAATGTAGTGACATCAACTGTGTATTGTAATCCCCTATTTACCATGCACGGGCACACATGTGCTTAGATGTCTATATGGTAACAATGAAGAAACCGATAGGCGACATAAACCTCACAAAGAAATTGAAGTACAACGATTAACCTAACAGCTGGAATAGGAGCATATAATTTTGAATGTATTTATGGGCCAAGTTGAATTAGTTTGACTGGCCTGAATCCTACAGTGACCTAGATTTGAAATCAGAGGGAGTGATTCTTTAACCTATGGTTATCCATGGCAAATTCTGATTTGAAAGCTGGACATGCAATTGATTTACAACCTATTGTCATATGCTTTATTTTTTGTGTACTGTTCTCTATCCAGCAGTCCTAATTTATTAAACGGTCTGTTGTTTCAGCTGATGTCATAACTGAAGCATGAGCGGCGGTCCCAGAGAATGTTTGTCCAGTAACATTAGTGGATAGAGGTGCTTTACAATTTAAAAGCCCTTTGCGCTGTGTTCTATTCATGAACTTTACTATTACTTTGCATGATCAAACACAAACCAGGGTCATCCATTTATTTGACCCCTTCACTATTACAATAGGTTCCTTTCAGAATATAAGTCAGTACTGACTGCTTTTCATCTAGATCATAGTTACGGCTTGACCTGTCCATGTCTCTTGCATAAGCAAGTCCTCTGGCATCAAAATACATTTTGATGTGGGTCCCTTTGATTTCTCTTTCGGTCTTTCCGGCACATAATATACTTACATCGATATGACTGTCATTTAGCTTTGACAGGAACGTATTCCTTTCTTTGACACTGAGTAAATAAGCTTACCTTATTGTATAAAAAACTGAAAAACGGATAAGTGATTGAGCATTTCTTGTAAGTATGTAACTATGTATAAAAAAAATATGAGAACTGCCTTAAAAATAGTGCATTTAGTTGAAACATAAAGAAGTATATACCAAGTTGGTTGCATTCATTTTATTCACATCTCTTTATCCCTCATGGGCTCTTTATCATCAGTTGCAACTAGCAATGTGGTTCCCGTTACTGATGTGGCTTCAGTTTCTGCAGATTTGTGATGAACAGAATCTTGAGACTGGCAGGTTAGCCACCATTGGGAGCCTGAAGACCGTCGGGATTACTCAGAATTCGGTATACTAATACGAAAAAAATACAGAAACACATGTTGACTAGTTTACTCATTTAAGGCAGTAGGACAAGGCTTTTGTTTTTTTTGTCCCAGGTCTTATTGTCCTAGCTACACCCATAACGCAATGTAACATTGATCATGTTGTATATACTGTTGTATTGGATGAACATGGAGCAATTTTGAACATTTTTGGCCCCCTTCGCTTCGCTGAAAAAACAAGCCAAAACATTGTTCCGGCTGATTTGTTGTGAGAGAAAAACACTTTCAGCTAAAAAAACAAACTGAAAAAGACATATTATAAGAGAAACGAACAGTGTCTTTGTTGCGGACGATAAGAAAACGAGCTTCCGAGGTGGATGTCCCTAGAAGAGAATATTCGAGTACAATATATATCTTAATAATTGATAGTTGGGAAAAGCAAGCTAACCCAATCTAACCATATGCAAGAACCTAAATAGTATATCAAATTAGACACATCCACGTGATGAAGGTGGCAATAAAAGTAAACAGGTACGTCATGTTCGCTTGTTTTATAATATGTACTTTTTAGCTTGTTTTTTTAGTTGGAATCATATTTTTCTGTAACAACAAATCAGTCAGAACAGTATTTCAAATTATTTTTTTAGCGAAGCGAACGAGGTAGAATCTTTCATAAAATCTGCCTTTATTTTACACCTGTTTTTCATCCTACCTGCAATCTCTCATAGAATCTTTCAGTCTTTATCTGCACTCGCTGCAAACACCCAAACTAAGGGCTCGTTGCTACGGTCGTAGAAGTGCAAGAAACGTCGAAGACGAAGTTACGCCATAAATTAGAATAGTCATTATTCTTGAATTTTAAATCCTAATTAAAACTAGTCATATTTTAATACTAACTATTGCTATAGAAATTTCATCGATTAACATTTACTTTTAAAAACTAATCGATATGTGAACATCTAAACAAACCATACATGATGTGTGTGTTTACGCTATAATATTACTAATGTGCATGAAAATTTAGGCGACACGTGAAAGGAGGAAGTGCTCCTCTGGCCCAGAATAACTGAATAAGTGTTGCTTTGAGTTTGGTGCCATCAAACTTTTTTTTAACTTTAACTAGGTTTATAAAACACATTACTAACATTTATATCTCCAAAAGAGTTTATTATCAAAATATATTTCAATAATTAATTTAATAATATTTATTATGTATCATAAATCATATATATTTGGTTAAAGTAAAAATATTTAACTACTGAGAAAGTGAGAATGATATTTATTTTGAGACGAAAAGAGTACTATGCTATCAGTAATATTTTTTATGCTGACGTCTCGCATGAACGCAAGAGAAATTTGACTGTTTTGTTACTGTAGCCACGCGAGTGCGTACTATCTTTTATCCTGATGTCCGGCAGGAACGCATGAGAATTCAGCCCTGTTTACTTTGCGAAATTTTTTCTCAAAAATGCTACAGTAACTATTACATCGAATTTTGTAATACGTGCATGAAGTATTAAATGTAGACGAAAAAAAAACTAATTATACAGTTTAGTTAGAAATTACAAGACGAACATTTTAAACCTAATTAATCCATGATTGAACACAAATTATCAAATAAAACAAAAATACTACCGTAATAAAAATTTTAAACTTTCACCCAACTAAACAACATGGGACCGTGGCCACGCTAGGCGTCGAGAAAGCCGTACAGCTCTCTTTGACTGACTGTAGGTCTATACTCAATTCATCCCAAATTGTAAGACGTTTGACTTTTTTAACATTAAGTTTGATCATTTGTTTTATTCAAAAATTTGTGTAAAATATCACTTTTTTCGTCGTGGTTTGGTTTATTAATAAAATTTCTTCAAAGATCACTTAAATTTGACTATATTTACACAAATTTTTAAAATAAGACGAGTGGTTAAACTTAAAACTAAGAAAGTCAAACGTCTTATAATCTTTATAATCTAGGATGGACGGAGATAAGAAGAAAGGGAAGACAGCTCCGACGACCGAGCGAGATAATATCGTGACATCGTCTGTCCGCCACCGGGTACCTCTTTCTCCGAGTAGCGCACTGCGCACCAGAGGAACGGCGAGGAGCAGACGGGAACGGGGATGGGAAGCGCAGGTGCGCTGCTTTGGCACCCGCCGCCGCAGTTGCACCCCGGTGGCGTCCTCTTCCGCCAGAGCGGGCCCCTCCTGCGCCAGCGCAACCTGCCTCTATTATCGCTAGCTGCCGCGGCGCTCGAGCCCGAGCGCCGCCGCCGGCAGCGCCTCCGCTGCGCTGCCGTCGACGGGGACGGCGGGCCCCGGGAGGCTGGCCCACTGCCAAAGGAGTCTCCGTCCAGCGGCATCGGCGCCGCACTCGAGGACCCACCTCCTGGTACGCCTGACATTACGCCCGCCCTTTTACTGGAACACTCGAGCACCGTATAGACAGACTCTTTAGTTAGCACTACTCTGGTGCTGCGGTGGAGATCCTAGACAATTCAGTCATATGCTGGATATGAGCTCACATTGTTTGTCGTAGGAGGGATCGTATCACGGAGTCTCATGAAAATTCCTAATCTACAGAAACAACCGGTTGAGAAATGTCAGAATTCTGACTTCCAATTAAAAAAACTAATAGAAGATAGATTTAATGTCCACTGTACCTAAAACGTTGTGTTATGTTGTCAGCTAGTGTAGGGCTGCATATGTGTCAGAGCCTTGCTCAGTTGGTTGTCGGTGTGGATGTATGCCCACACCACCCAAGTTTCAAGTCCTCATCGAGCCGAATTTGAGTGCCTATTTCTTCTTCCTAGTTCCTCGTGTCAGATACTGAAGGACCAACCACCGAAGAGGTATTGGTAGCAAACCAAGCAAAAAATCAGATATCCAACAAAATTTCTGGATATGAGAGATGGAGTCATGTAGTTCCATTTTCAGAATATGAGAGATAGAGATGGAGTCAGATAGTTGCATTTTCATGTAGGGTGATACAAGGGCTATAATTTTATCATAAAGATACTGGATGTGGGAATACCTTAAATATCCCATATTTCTGCGACATCCAGGAAGTCAGTGTAGAAAGGTTAAAAGAGATAGGAAAGTACAGCTAGGATAAATTGTCTCCAGGGTTAGTGCAAATTCCCAGTACTAACTTATACATTCTGATAGTATAATACTATGTGTAACAATAATCGACAAAATAACAAACAACATCATAGTAAGTAGTAACCTCCTATAGTTTCCCTCTACGGCTATGATCCTCTATCTTGTGAAATCAAACTATCACAATATCAATTGGAATTGTGGCTAGAAACCCTTGTTCCACAAAGCATATGATAAAGTCATTCATAAATTCATCGCCAATACGATTTCACAGTAGTGTCTTCACATTGCTGAAAAACAGCTCTCTACCAATGCCATGGTGATAGGAAGAACTAGCGCTAGCTTGAGAAGCCAATAGACGAAGACCATCAGCCTAACAAGCTTGTAAATAGTGTTCAACTTGGCAAATCTTTCATCAGCTCACACATTATCAATGTAAATATTAAGCTCATGACTAAGGTCCTTTATTGTGTTGAATTGAAATCATCAGGTATGGCTTAGCAAACTCCATCAAAATCTAAAATTTGGAAGCCTCATCAAACACTTATCCACCTTTTCACTATACTCTAGCCAATAATATTTAGTGAACAATTCAGACTGACGCTAGACTGGTCTAAAAGGGCCTCTAATCACTACTTTTCTTACTTGACATCTTACTGGAACGAGGAAGAAGGAAAGGTCGCATGCAACGAATTGTGCTGTTTGTTATTTGCTTTTGATTTTATGACAGAAAAAGATAAAAAAGCTAAGACCTCACTACTCGGATTTGATAAATCCACAGGAGTGTATATTGGAATGTTGTAGAATTGGGATTTGCAGTATCTTGTCGGCTCGGTGCCTTGACCCAGAGTGCCTTTTACCATATCTGGAGATACCCCAATATACTCTTAACATCCTCCGCAGTCACAGTGGCAGTGGAAGCCTCGGCTCAGGATCAAAACCCTAAACTCGTGATAGCGTATAATGCGTGGGATGTATTGCATTGAGCTCTTGGGTAGTATTAATAGAGTACAAGAATTGGGGTACAAGACACCTCCCGGATACATATGGCAAATGGGATTTCAATATCCCTAACTACCAAATATACTCTTACTAATGCTTCTTCCGTTCAAAATATATGGTGTGGGCTCATTGTGCTCTCTAACATTATACTTTGGCCATTATTTTCTCCTATAAGATGTTCATAATGTACTCTTCTTATAATGAATGAATGGATTTCCCTTTTCCCAAAAAAAAAACGCTAAATCCTGATCGTAGAAAATTAAATTCATATATGAATGCAATGGCACCATCCATGTATAATTATTGTTAAGAGAATCCCCAGTAAAGAATCATGAAGTTCAAATCTTGAAACGTGTAAGTTTTAAAAAAAAAAATCTTGAAACGTGTGTGCATGCCTTATAAAAGAAACAGAGGGAGCACATATAATAAAGCTAGACATTAAAAGAAATATATCTTGTTCAACATTAAGGTGCTGTTCTGGCTCATTGGTGTATCACAGCTTGAGTTAAATAAAGGAAATAAAAAATTTAAAGGTGAAGGCAATTACTATAGTAAATTGTATCTCATACTGCACCATTTTTAGTTGTACTGGCCTGAGCTATTTTTTTTATGTTACATGATGAATTATCTTTTGTCTATTTGATTATACCTTGGTAGAGTTCTATTTCTGGAGTATGTGACATAGCTGCACCCAGAATATTGATTGACTAATTTACAACTCAAACTTACCTTTTGCAGTGGAAAATGGTTCCTTCGGAGGCCCCTCAGAGGAAGAACAGAGTGCTCTGTATAATTTTCTTTATCCAAGCAAAGACTTACTTCCAGATGATAAGGAGATGAGTATATTTGATCATCTAGAGGAGCTTCGTGAGAGGATTTTCATCTCAGTTTTGGCTGTTGGGGCTGCGATGCTAGGCTGTTTTGCCTTTTC